TGATTTGAGTTCAATTACACGCTTGTCGTAGCTGTTACGAGAAATGATTGACTGCTTTGAGTTCAGTTACATGCTTGTCGTAGCTGTTACAAGAAATGATTGACTGATTTGAGTTCAGTTACACGCTAGTCGTAGCTGTTACAAGAAATGATAGCCTGCAGAGCAGGCGTAATTTAGGCTAGCGAGTGCTAAGTAATTTCATGACGAATATTATGGCCGCCATCTTTGATCTTCATGGCAGCGGAAGGCTGGAGAGAGGAAAAATTTAATTTATAATTGAAGATTTAATTTATACCAAGGGGGCGTCGACGGTCAAAAATAAGGAGAGGGGTGGGGGTAGGGGAGTGAAGATTAGACTGCCAGGAATTCAGCCTAAGTGAACCAGAAAGGATAGACAACACTTCCCTATATTGACCATTAATGAAAAGCTGAGTATGTTATATATCCCAGAAGTGCTCAGGCATTATGCTGAATGCCAGGACTTAAGCCTGAGTGAACCAGAAAGGATAGACAACACTTCCCTATATTGACCATTAATGAAAAGCTAAGTTAGTATGTTATACATCCCAGAAGTGCTCAGACATTATACTGAATGCCAGGACTTCAGCCTGGGTGAACCAGAAAGGATAGACAACAATATCCTATATTTATCACAAATGAAAAACTAAAACCCCATTTACACCACTGATTGTAACCTGTTTACACGGGTAACAATCAGGTTAGGCTTATGATTAAAAAGAGCTCAAGGGCCTGGTAATTTGTACACTGTTTACACTACTGATTCTCGGTGACCGGACCGTGTTTTTATTTGAGCCTTCGGTATCTTTCCTTATCGCTCAGTGGTAAATACACAAAAGGGTGCGCGAAGGAAAGAAACATGGCTTACATTATGGCTGCCACTCTTTTACCATTTCCTTTTATGAGGAAAGTGACTCCCTCTTCAGGGGAAAACTCTGCAGAAATATTGAACCGCTTTAGAAGAAAACGGAGAAGAAATGAGCCAATGCACTATCGAGAGAACCATATGGCAGTTTCCTAGAACAGGTGTTTGGTTTCAGCTTGTATTGAAAGAATTTTCAGACCAAGAATGGTACGAAAACTTTCGCTTGTCCAGGGCAACATTTCAATTTTTATTGAAGAACTTAATCCAGAACTGAAATCGCAAGATACAAAGATGAGAAAAGCTGTTGAAGTGGAATAGAAAGTGGGTCTGTTCTTGTACTTCATTACTTCAACTGCAAGTTACAGAACACTTTCTGACCTGTTTGGTTTATCCAGGGGCTTTGTTTACATTTGTATCCGCAAGGTAGCCGCTGCAGTGGTGAGAAAACTTAAGCCAAAGTATCTGTCCATTGCTAAAGGAGATGAACTCGCTCTTGTGATAGCTAATTATAAGGAGAAATGGGGTTTCCCATGTGTGCTGGAGCAATCGATGGCACACATATACCAATTTCAACACCATAGCAAAATCATGCAAGTTACAACAACAGGAAATGATACCACAGTATTGTAATGCAAGCTCTTGCAGACAGTAATTACCTATTCCACGATATTTTTGTAGGGTGGCCAGGAAGTGTATGTGACGCAAAGGTCTTTTCTAACTCACAACTGTACGCTCTGGGGTGTAGAGGGAGGTTATTTCCATCTGATATGAAAGAAGAAATTTTGGGGAAGGAAATTCATCCTGTTATCTTACCAGTTCCAGCCTACCCCATGTTAAATTGGCTACTTAAAGGTTAGCCAGAGAATGTTAACTCCCCCATTAATTCTTGCTACAAACATTTTGGAAACTATGAAATTAAAGAGCTGTATTCACCTCTTCGTCTCAGCTTCTGAGCATTCACGGAGACTCACACACACTGTTTCAAATGACTTCTACATTTTTGTTTTCGTGAAACTTTTTGGCGTGGCACCTGTGATGTACTTAGATCTCTTCCTTTCAGAAATACTATCATCAGTGTCTGAGACAACATCACCTTCTTTCTCAGAATTCAGTTCTGAGCCATTTTCCGAGGTTTCTGTTCCTAGCAATAAAGATAATTATAACAGTAAATGAGTATGTTGTAGTCAATTTTTGTTTCCAGTTAAATTTTATTTATTCCTTATTTAAAACTCATTATCATACATCACATACCTAAAAACAACGGAAAAATGAAATTTAACTGAAACAAAAAAGTAACTCCAACATGTACATGCACCACACAGTCTGAAAATCTCTAGTTAACTCTCCTTCCCATCCTTATTATCTTTCTTCAACTGGCAGGTTATCTAGTAAAGATACACGGATTATATTCATTTGGTGTATTATTTGAAAACTAACAGAGATAAAATAAAATTCATAAAACTTGTTCTGATTGATAATCTAAAAACACAACAGCAACCTTCCTTTGTCAGCCAGTGCTTCCAAGCCCATCTGACTGGAGGTGGCGGAAGCTCAACGACTCATGGTCACCATTCTGAACAGCTCTACCGCAAGCAAAGGAATCTTGTCACGGACTCATTCGATGCGGATACATGTAAAGGACGATGCAAGTGCTTAAAGGTTAATTTGGCATGCACCGGTTTGTGAAACTGTGGCGGCAAGTTCTAACAGCCACAAATATTTACAACGGTGTCACTAACAATTAGAGTAGATCGACTAAGAATTAGGCATTACATCAATCGTTTGTCAAATTTTGGTTAGATAGGAGAACATTTTAGGATTTCACCTACAGCGCCGTTCAGAGAAGTGCTGCAGAACAATTTACCACAGGCATCCCAAATCTGTTAACCAAAAATTATTTATAATAGCTCGTTAATGACTAAAGTAACGGAAGAGAATGTCAAATCAAGCAAAGACATGAGCTTTATGTTTCTAAGATAACCAAGTTTTACCAATAGTGATTCAAAAATAATGTAGACAGGTTTATTTGATGTTTAACCACAGGCATAATTATCAATAGTGATTCAGAAAATAATATAGACAGGTATATTTAACGTTTGACCATAGGGTACCCAAACATTATGATAAATATCAAAGAGGATATTACCGTAATGGCATAAGATGAATACGAATGGATAGAAAATTACTCGGTGGTTATGTTTGAAGGCTTTTGTCGCAAATTTCCCTAAGCAATGTCGTTTATTAAGGGGATTTTTTTTATTCTTAGCCTCGTTAGCGAATTTCTGACATGCGTGGTTCTCGTCACCGAAAGATAATTTGGATTGGCCCTCTGTCAGAAAATATTAGTCTTGGGGTCATAAGTGTTGTGGCAAACTTTCATGCTTTTATCATTAATTTGAACAATTCAGTGTTTTTTTTGGTCGATAACAGCTGGACTACACGAGGAGGCACAAGCCTATTTTTTGCTACCCACGGTATTCCTTAGTTGCTGCCAAAATAATTTCCGTTACCAACACAGAGTAAAAGCTATAGAATGTTCAAGATCATCTAGAACCCAGCGTTTGCTTTAGGACTGTCCACCCTGCACATCATTTCCTCTTCAGGTCTTTTTTACTCGTGCGTTATTAAGGAAAATTCGCCTCAAAAGATAAAACGGGAAATTTGATCAACTAATAGATTCTCGAGTTTCCTGTAGACATATTTAAAATTCCTAATCAAATTCATAATATCTCTGACTAGGAGCGTCATCTAGTTTTTGTGTTTTGCTTAAATAAATATATTTGTAGAGTGATAATTATTTTTGTATTTTACCTGTACACCTCCGTGGCCAACACTTTTCATTACGATTTTTGACATGTTCATGCTACTAGAATTGTTTTTTGGCTGAAAACGTTTCGATGCATCTGATACCCAGAAAGTTCGACCAGAAATTGTACTCGCCGTGGCATATTTTTTTCCAACATCTTGGGGCTTTCAGTTCTAGGACCAATCACAGCGAAAAAATCATACGATACTTTAAAGATTGCGGGAACAATAAAGTTTAATGAAACTGTGAATTAACTACTACGCTCTAACTATTTTTAGCAAATTACGCTAAAAAAACGGGCACTACATGTACTAAAACATCAACCTGTAACCAATAGAATCCGAGTCTATTTTAAGGTTTTCCACTCTTTAACCAGCTACAAAAGTACACAAGATCAATCAGTTCAGTATTCAAAGAGGTGGAATTTAACTGTTCCATGCTTTAAGAGCAAGATATTGTCACTGCTAGAAAATTTTGAGCTCGATGATCTATCAATGCCGATGAATATTCGAATCGTTTTAGCCATTTCTAGTCTAAAACAATGAAGTTTTGAGGTGAACAAGAACGATGGCTTTCGAGGGACCTAACACTGCTGTTTCTGTTGCATAAAAGCCAAGTGGCAATTAATCAGAATTTTTTATTTTATTTTTCGGAAATATTTCAAAACTTTGTTTGATATAGCTGAGGTCGTTAATATTTCATTAAAAAACGTCTTAAATATCCTTGTATATTGAAGTATAAGAGATTTGGGGATATCTACATATCTCTTTAAGAGTTTAAATGTGTAGTTACTATATATTTAGGGCTTTTTCACGTCCGTTTCCCTAGACTGTTTTGTCACAATAAGATTTCTCCAAGGTGAAACAAGCGTGGTTTACGGACTTAAAACAACAAAGGATAGTTTTATTGCACCAATATGTACCCCATGGCTTTTATACTCTTGTGTCCTTTGCGTGCCTCGTTTCCACAAGATTTTGCGTCATTAGGGTGACTTCCTGTTCCAAATCCAATCAAAGAGTTGCACGAGTGGCAGTCGTTCTGGTCATTGCTAACAATACCAATTCTGACTTTAGAATGATTACTTTTACCACTAAAGGCATTGAATCCTTCCTTGTTACAGTTGTACTGTAAAGAGGCGTTGCTGCCAATCAACTTTTCCCACTCGTCAAGACCCAGCGATGTGTTTCGGTATTGGCCATCAGCAATTATCGAGTGCAGAGAGTCAGCCAGCCTGTTGATAACAATAAATCTGAGCTGTTGGTTGATCTTCATTCCAAGACAGATCTTGGAGAAGGATGTGTTCCAGTAGGTGGGTAACTTTGATTCTTGTTCGTCAAACCCAGTCTCTCCACCGGGAGGGTTGAATTCATCGTAATTACTCCAATAATGTGCATAATAATGAAAGGTGGTCTGAAATAGAGAAGCAATTTTTTTTAAAAATTTTTTTCTCCGAATTTATGGGTTTTCTCCTGTCGACGTCCTGTACTGTATCTGCTTTTAACCGAATTATGATCTCGATGGTTTATATTTCTTATCTAGCTATTACATGATACCAGAGACAAATATGTTAGGATAATTAAGACAATCTTTTTCAGTCACTACACACAACAAGTCTTGAAATTTACGTTGAACAACGTCTGTTCTTCGTGCATTATCTTCTCGATGAAAAATAAAAGGCATACGTATGTAACACGCAGATTTTTAACTTGCAACGTTTTGAAAGAGAGCGCGTTTATACACGAGATGAATTATTTAATAAAAGTATGCACCTTTATGCCGTCAATCTTCATAACTGGTGTCCATCCTCCATCTCCACACCCGAAATTTCCCATGTGACAGAAAACGGACAATGGTTGGGAATCAACAAGAAGGGTAACCACCCCACTCACATTGGATCTTTTAAATCAAAATGAAAAAAAAAAAAATACAACAATTAACGAGAACAATGATGGTGAAATAAGACGAGCTTATAAAAATAATTATCATAGCTACAACGGTGGCAGTGAAAATGACAATGGGAGAGATACTGGGTGATAATAATAATGATGATGATTTAACAAATAAGCAAATGAAAAGTTGATCCTTCAGACGTCGATATCTGCGGAACAAAAACAACAGCCTTCATAACAACAATGCTCGGTTATTTGTCCTGGAATCAAACAGGTTTTCGAGTGCAAAAGATATTTTTTACCTCTTCCCTGAGGAGAGTAATGCACTCCACTTAAACGAATCAAGGTTTAAAGGAGGACTTTCTCCGCATATGGAATGTGGCTTGAAAATTGGGGTATATTCGGTGACGTGATGGGCTTAAACTAATTGCTGGCAAGTGGAATGTTTGATGTACTCTGAAAATAATATCGAATACCAATCTTACTTACAAGTAATGAATTTCTTTACACGAGGAAGCTCCTGCAAGAAGTTTAAAAATACCTTTGATTAGAAGAAATTGTGAACTTGTTCTAGGTACATCTTAGTCCATCATTGGGAAACTATATTGACTGCAATCTGACTGATTGGCAGAAGAATTTTATTATGTTGCAAGCTCTGCTTTTTGGCTGGAAAGAGTTCTCAGTTTTCATTCACTTTATTTGGCAGCATGTATAATTTCTTCAAATACATCATCGATAAGAAACAGCGTCGGGAGAGGATCGATTGTTGTTAGCAATTACTGAATGAGGTTGATGATATCTTGAATTATCAAACCCATGATTTGAGTTGTCTTTTGAAGCCAAAGGACGAGGGAGATCACGCAGACACAGACATAAGGTTTAATGAATCGTGATTTCATGCGAAAACCGAATTCAATAATTTTCTCATTACAAGGATTTTTAAAAAAATCTGCTTTTGCAAACGTTTTAAAACACTACACGGAAGAGGGACTTAGAAACTTGTAAAGGTTATAAGGCTCAGTAGAAGAGCAGTAGTATCGCCATTGTATCAAAATTCGTAGCTAGACTTTTCACCAGATGATTTTGCTCTATATTTCGACCCCAGTGTTTACCTTTACATTCTCGTCCATTTCCAGTGAATCCAGGTTTACATGTACAGTTGTAAGACCCTTTGGTATTGTTGCAATAGGCATCAGGGCTGCAAGAGTGTGACCTTCCGACACACTCATCGATGTCTATAGATATAAAGCCGACAAACAATTGACGAAAATGTATAAAAGATTTAAAAGGTCAGCAGCATTACTTGATATTCGTATTTGATTTGCACAGCATTAATATTTGTTGTTGAGAACATCAAATAGGTTTCTGTAGCCATACGACAGTCTGTCCGGCAACAAAGGATGAATGAAACCAACAAACAGTGATGAGCAAATTGATTCCAATTGATGCAAAAACACTTTGGTGATCAAGAATAAAATTTTTCAATGTGGTTTCGTCCATATATATCTCTGCCCGCGTTCAGTTTCACTATACATTTTCTTGCTGAGAGGATCGAGATGTAAGTTACTATCCCTTTGTGGATAATTTGCAAATATAAGCTTAATTTTTTTCATCACACAATTGTTAATAGATCAAACAACTACCTTTACATTCTTGTCCATTTCCCGTGAATCCATGTTTGCATGTGCAATTGTATGACCCTTTCGTATCGTTGCAAAACGCATTAGAGCTGCATTTGTGTAGCCCACGAACACATTCGTTTATGTCTGAACAAAAAAATACACAAATAAATGGGTAGGCCTCCTTCAAATACTTTTCTTAACAGGGTAAACGTAGTTTTTGTTTTCTCATGATCGCTAAACATCATTTTTGCTTTTTACAGACTGAAAAAAATGTATTCGAAATGAATCGATCAACAGCCATCTCGTAAGTCACAAGCAGTACTTATGAGCCGCGAAACAGTCATATATTCCCTCTTTTTAATCCAGAAATTTCTACTTTTTGCTTGTGGTTCATGTATTTTACTATTGTTTCTGTCCACTTTCAGTACAGCTCAGAAGAAGATATGTGAAGACGAATAAGAAGGGAGATGACGAGAAGAAACAGACAAAAAACCAAAAATTCGCTATAGAGTTGTGTTTTTGAAGAAACTGCGACATAGGCCTATTGTTCGTCGGTTCTTACTGACTAATAAGGGAGCTTTAAGCTACATGAGGAAAGAAGAAGCTCTTTTGTTCTTCGAGACCCAATTAACAAGGAACGCGGCAAAGTTTTTCCTTGTTGTTAAACTGAAGGCCTCAAGTTATCAACATTGGAGTTGTGTTTACCTCTTTCGCAAATTGGACCCTCAAATCCAGCGGTACAAAGACACCGATAACCTTTCTTAGTAAATCCGCTTTGGCAAGTAGCATTGTTCTTACATGGATTTTGAACACAATTGCTCTGACAGAAAAAAAAAAACCGTTGTCATTGTCATTATCATTATAATCATTTACAACATCCAATAATCAACTGCACCGCTATCATCATCAATATCGCCATCGTTATCCTTGTAATCATAGTTGTCCTTCTATTTCTATATTTTTCCAAAAACTTTGAAATGCTTTGTCTTTGAAGAGATTTTGGTGAAGAGCACAGACACAGTATTACCGCTAATGTTCGTAATTTAAGGTGAACATGAGACTAAGAGGTTTGAAAAGAAAAACAAAATAAACCAATCTGAATCTTAAATTGAAAGTTATATTTACCTCAGCTGCGCGATAAGAATACATCTCTTGGTCTATCAACCTTTCTTGGTGTCCTTCATGAGTAGCATTGTTCAGTTCACATTTATAGTTTCCATTTCCATCTGCCCGTGTATAGAGATTAATGCTGACGCAGTCGGGCTCCATATAACACAAGTTTTCACAGAACCTGGAAACTGTTATTTCTATGGTGCGAATTGTGTGGTTTACGAGGCGTTTCCCTTCAAATGCTTTCTCAGGTTCAAACTCCAAATTGCGACACTGGTCTGCGATACAGACGTCTTTCAAATGGAAATAATAAATACATTAAACGAAACATTGTTGCTTTTGATGATGTTAAGAATTATGGAAAATGTGGTAAGTGACATTTCATTATCAGTTGTGTTAGACTTGAATTTTTTTCTTCGTCTATTTTTTCTATTTTGTAGAAAGTGTTTAAAAGGAAAGAGATATACAAACCCTCGACAGTGTCTCTGGTTTGCATAACTTTCTCCCAAGTCTCTCAAATTTTAACATTTCTTCAGTAAATATACGTGTATAAAGCTAATTTCTGACCTAATGACGAATTCTTCCAATTTGAATATAACGTTTCCCAAAAAGTAACGATGACTTAAACCAAAGAAAACATGAATTGGATATGAGTCATACTGAAACTAACCTTGTAACCTGACAGCCTTGGGTATCATAAAGTAGAGCTCCAATAAAAGAAGGGAGACAGAAGCAGAATACATGATACGCAACACGATTAGAAAAGGCCTGGCCCTTAAAACGTATGCCTGAAACAGTAGAAATTTGGCTGTCACCGGTAAAACTATTGGCTGTCAAACTGTTTCGTATGTCAACTGTTCTGTCTTAGTTTATACACGTACAAATATTTGCTTAGAATGCTGCTCGGTTCAGCAATAATTTGCCTGTCAATTGCCATAATAAAGTTTTGTCACATTATTCTGTGATCTGACATGCTATCATAAAAACTGATAAATAACAGTTATAATTATGCAGCCGTGTTACACGTCAGCCAATTCACTTCCACGACACTTTTCATATCCATACTGTCGTATGGTCGTCAGTAAACGGTAAATGAAATTTCCTAAATGATACGCACACTGATGTTCAAACCGTTTGTGCTGAATTAAGATAAAATGGACCTGAAATAATTTTTTTTAACGAGGTGGTCTCAAAAAAAATTATGAGGCATAGGTTACCCGACTTTCCCACAATTTTATATTCAAAACAAAATCGAGAAGACGTTTAGACCGGAAAAGCTTGCAAAATTTCTGTATCATAATATAATTGACTAAATTGATTCTTCGTTGAAAATCTGCGTGTTAAAGAAATGGAGAGATGTAAACCTAACTTGTGAAAATGAAGAATTTATTTGATGACCTCCTAATTTTTCACTTCTACGCATACACAACAGCTGGCATTTTGAATCTTTGTTAAATTATCATACAACAATTGTTTATTTTGGTGCTGGTAAGAACTTCCTGTGTGTCATTTTATTCATTCCCCATAATTTTCAGCTACTGTTTAATAAATAGAGAAGCCTTGACTACGCTCTGTTTTATTATTAAGCGTGCAGGAAGCGGCTAGAGCATGGAAAAAGTGTAGGGAGAAACAGGAGACGTAGACGTCCCAGTTCTTGAGACTTAAGCCGCTTCTTAAGTGCTTTACAACAGAACAGAGCTGGTCAAGGCTTCTCTATTTATTTTATGATAAAGAATCCGCTTAATTCCCCACGTATTACAATTAGTCAAAACAAAGTTTATCTCAAAAGCGAACAACAGTGTCGTCAGCATGCTCTCTACTCTCATAAGCACGCTACAATAAGCCAATCAGAATCCTTTTTTAGAATAGTTCAAATAATCTGATTAGTCGACCAAGCAAATTAATGCAGCCGTTGGGCGTAGAACTGACAGGTGTTAACCGTCAGTCGTTAACAAAGCTAACTGAAAAAGTTCGATGTTTTAGACTTGACGGAAAGAAATTAAATGGTAGCCTTAACAAAGCAAAAATTTTTACCTTTACTTATAAAAGCCATCAGCCCACTGAGACTTACTAGTAAACAGTTATATGTCATCGCGGAAATTAAAAAAATCTTACCCGAAAAACAGTTGTTCCCGAGTTATAATATGGAAATCAAAGGGAAATTGGAAGACGTTATCGATGATTTACGGGAGAAACTATGGTGGTCATCCGTTAAGAGTGGGAACTCCAGGCATATAAGACTGGAGTCAATTTCTAGTTCTTACTCTTACATGTACAGCATTTCCACTCATTCGTGCGACGAACTATTTGATATTCTGCTGAACTTGTTTTCACTAGCTTGTTTTAAATGTAAACAATAATATCTTAAACGACTTTGAATATATGAAAATCATTATTGTGTAGTTACAGTAAAGAGAAACTATTCCACGTGTTGCCAAATGCGCCTATTTTAATAAATTAAATATAGAACCAGGCACAAATTTAACTAGCTTCTTCTCTATCTTTTGATGCAATCGACACCACGTTGATTTGCTCAACTACGTTGGACGTTCAACGTCTATGCTACTATACTGAAAATGTTGATGCAATTTCGAGGAAAACAGCTCTGAACAAGCGGCTGCTTTAATTTTGGCATGAACCTACCCGCTCTGTTTGTAAACCAGCATCGCTATGTTCGAAGGTAAACAAGAAATCTAATGCTTTTAAAGACCATTCAGGTATTTTCATATTGAGAGGCGATTTTTTCCCTTCGGCGGGCTTCATATTACAATCAATAAACATGATATTCTAAACAGCTTTTAATCTGAGGCACATTGAGGAAAGTTGAAAGATCTAGAATTCCCTATAAGAGGCCCAGGGTCTCAATGGGCTGATTGTTAAAAAAGAAAAACGGCAAAACAAATTAGCCGTCAGACGAAAATACTGACAAATTTTAACCATAAGTGTTACAAAAAAAAAATTAACCGTTAGCATCTTTTAATTGCAACGGAGCTGATAGCCGTTAAATAACATAAATGAGAAAGACAGAGTGAAGACAACGAGAATTATGGTAAATTATTATAGCTCTTATTAAGAAGAATATCTTATTAAGAAACTATGATAAAAAGAAAGGATTGAACAAATTGAAACATGGACGAGAATATTGATGAAAAATGACATTCAATAGACAGTGCAAAAAAAGTTTTGCTCAAAACAGTAGCCCAAGATAGTGCATGGATATGCGACTTATAAATACTTTTTCTCAACGCATACTGCTATGAAGATTTTCCGGTGAAATTTTTGTACAATGTGACTGAAGTAAGATTGCAGAAACTGATTGAAATTTACTTTACATTCAAACGTTATAAGTATAGGAAATCGTATGAACGCGAGTGCATTTCGTGATTTATGGGCACGCGTGATGTTTTGAAAGTTCTCAAATTGCACGAGCCGTAGGCGAGTGCAATTTGAGAACTTTCAAAACATCACGCGTGACCATAAATCACGAAATGCACGAGCAGGTTCATACGATTTTTTATTTATTATATTCTCGACAAAATTACTCCATCGCGCTACTCTGCACGCCTTACGTACTACAAAAAACACTTCAATGGGTTCCAAAATGCTCACATGTTTTATTTGAACCAATCAAAAATGTAATGTTGTGACAGTTAAATCAAGCGTGAAGTTCTTGAAAGTTTCTCAGAAAATATTACAAGCCGAACTGTCAGCCATTTTATAATTTGGTGTTAAAATTTGGCGCTTCCCCGGTGTTTCCATGGCAACTTCTCCGTATTGCACTCTATAACCTCTATTGCACTCTATAACCTATTTATGCATTCATCATTGACCAATCAGAAATGCGATATTTTGTTGAGTATATAATAAGTGATTGTATAATCTTTAATCGTTTTGGAATAAATTGAGACAGCTTGAATAATCTTCGTCATGACGTTTTGGGAAGAACGGCAGATGGAAAAACGTTGTGCGTACTTTTGGCTTTCGTTTCTACTTGTAGAAAGGCCCGCCTCATCTAGGGCGGAAGGGATCTAGAAGTATTAAGGGAACAAGGAAAAAATCTAAGAAAAACTTGAATAAAACAAAGGGTGTGATAAAACATTTACCTGGAGAACAGTTAGCTGCTGGGAAGATAAAAGGCAAGAGAACGGAAATGAGATAGCGCTTGAAATCAGCGGACATGATGGATAGGTAAGGCACTTGGTGAAGTTTAACTTTGCTTACGCTTTCAGTTTCCCATTTAAGTCGCTCTCAAGTTAACGTTGTATATGCTGCAGCAACTCGAATCTGTTTTCACTTAACAACGAAACGTTGCGAAATTTGGTGGTACAATAGACTAACAGCTTCCAACTGTCTGAGAGAACTCGGTGTTCATTGGCTCTAAATTAGGTTCTGGCCAATTGGAGCGGCCTGTTAAAGAGATGGTTTCTTCGTTTTCGTTAACTTAATCATGAAGGGACTGAAACCGAAAACAGAACAGAACCTTGGCGATATAGGTTTCTAATTAAATTGTAGAGGCTTTCTCCCTCGAAAAACTTGAACATTCGAATGCGTTCTAATGACTTCCATCTGATATTCATTATGGTGGGTAGATGAAACTGTTGCATGGTGCAGCAACGTCCTAATTTGATGATGGTACAAATTCACGTTTTAGTCGACAAAAGTACTCTCAAACGCTTTTTAACGCTTTAGCAAGGAGCTGTGATAAAATTTTGCCAAGGCTTAAATTTGCCGTTAAGATATTTAAAAAGAATGTTTAATTATAGGGAAACCCCTTAACTCATCCTCTTCGTCTTTTCATGAATTCAGTTTTCAATGCACTTTCTTACTCATCAACCTGTATTGGTGCAAGTCTAACGTTGGAACGTAATTGCGGTATACACTATTTCCTCGAATAAGTGCCCGGGCGTTACTTAAAATTCATTAATGTACTGGCAATTCAAGCAGGTTTCTTTTTGCATCCAACTAATTTGTTTGAGAAAGTGAGGTGGAAAGGGAGTGGTGGGCCACTATTTGGGTGAGGGCGCTTATTCGAGCGTGGGTGGTTATTAAAGGAAATACAGTATTTGTTTTGCTAACAACCATGCTTGTCTCCAAAGATTAGGACAGAAAAATAGTTGTAGGGTAGGCAGCCATTAAGAACACACTACATTCCTGATATCATTCTAGTTTTTACCCTAAACCTTTAATGTCTTGACAGTGTGAAGAACACCCTGTTTCTTCCTGAAAGTCTCTCGTCACAAAAACGATAACAAATAAAACAAACAAAACAAACAAAACAAATAAAACAAAACAAAGAGGAAGACACAGATATGCCTTAAACATGAACAATATCTAGTCAGCGCGTTTTAACAATGTTATTGTTCGAACGGGTGTCTTCTCTGTCAGCTGTATATTTGAACATATTAAATTTACAACTTTTTCCAATTTCAACACCCTATCTTTATCAGAAATAAGCTAGGTAATTAAAGTCTCTCGAGAGGAAAGTCGTCTGTATTTTTTTTTTGAGAGCAGGACGTCAGTAGCAGCTAAAGGAAAGAAAAAAGTCATCGATGAAACAAAAATGAAATAATCAAAAACAACACAAAACAAAAGGAATAAATTCGTCCTCGGTGGTTGTGATCAAAGAAAGATATCTACACGATATGAATCGAAAGCGCACGTTTAAGAAGTTTACCTTTAATACTGAACAGCGCGGGACTCTTCCGGCTAAGTTATGGGTTACGAATCCCGTGTTAGAATGCAT